ATAGCATATGTTACTTACTGACAACGTAGCTTTTCAATGGTGAAAGAATTTTTGAGATCGACCCAGTAGTTTTCGAATTATTTTTTTCTGTATTGACATACAAAAATACAAATCTTACCCCGTTATAATAATACTATAGACTAGCTTTCCCCCGCGACTTTGTCCGTGTCGAATTAACAAAAATACAAAAAACCTAGCCTATGTCACTCAGTGTTAACGTAGCTTTTTAATGGTGAAAGAATTTTTGAAATCGGCTAAGTAGTTTTTGAGTTATTTATTGAAATAGGAAAGATTCGTATTTTTGTGTGTATTGACACACAAAAATACGAATCTTTCCTCTTAATAATATTAGTATATTAGAGTTAGATTAAGAAAAAAATATTTCCTTTATGTCAGTCGTAAAGCAATTGATGTGTGCTGTTTTATTTTAAGGCTTCTGAAAATTCGTAAAACGGAGACATAAAAAATAATCATGTCAACTCAATTTGATAATTATTTTCTTTTACTATACAATGCCTTTGACTGATGTTACGACTTTTGATGGCAAAGAAATCAATCATTGATTGAATTCGTCTTCCCCATTGAAGTGAAGATCGTTTGAACATTGTTCTCGCTTTTAAGTCGAACCTTTTTAAGGAAAATTTTGTTTTCAAAAAGATTTTAGATTTCCAAATGTAACTTTTGTTTTAACAAGAATAAAGTTTTGCTATACCCAAACAAGTTTTGATTAAACTTTGAATTGACCTAACAGGGCGAGACACCTAAAACGTAATGTTCCAGTCTACAATGAAACTAAGTTTCAGCTATAGTTCTGACATTTTACTTAGAGAACGACCAAGCGTTAAGTTAATGGTTATTAAAAATAATACGTTTTATCCACACACTAGTAGTTCCCATGCGACTTTATCTGCATAAAATTATGAAAAGCTTATTTCATTGTTTTCATGTCAAATGTCAAAATGACATGACATGACAAACCTTGACAATCTTGTTTCCTTGATGTTGGCAGCTTATGGTCTCTTTCCCACATTAGGATTTTATCCAAAATATTTACTCCCTAAGTTTAATGGCGTGAATATATATAGCCTAAAGCGTGACGTAAGTGTAGGGCTTTTTATTAAAAAAAGAATTATTAAAAAATATGCTGTGATTGCTGACATCTTAGGCAACAAAGAAGTGTGTGTTTACGCTTTATTATAATAGAATATAGATTATTCGTTTTATTTCATCTATTAGATATTTCATCTGATCCTTGTTAAACTTTAATTACGATCTACAATGTATGCCAGTATGGGTTTATATTTTCCTGTAGTCCTGAGGTGTTTTAGAGAACTGGATTGGAGTAATGTAAAGAGCACGAAGATTTTGATAGACGCCTATATCAATTGCCAAGCAGTTACACGCAAGTATAACTAATCAATTTATAAGGCGCTGTTTACAAGCTGATTATCTTTTTTTATGAACATGGGTTTCTTTGTCAACATTTCCATCACGTTTTTATCAAAAGGACATGTTACTGTTTGTTGTAGGCTTTTTTATTTGCTTATACAGATACAGTAATATTTCGAAAGGTTCAGATAAGATTGGAATGTGTTTTCGAGTCAGATAAAACAAGTTTTTTTTTTTCTAATTTTAAGTTGTAAACTCCAGTAGATTTTTTTTGTTTGATGAATACAAACATATGATTATTGCCTAGTTTAATATTTTAGTCCTTGTTAGAAATACAACGGCCGAATATTGACACGAATCCTAAAAACTTCGCTTCTTCGTTTACAATCTGATACACGTTAAAATGTTAATGGAATAAGGGGTTTAAATATGGCGCGATCTTTTAGTTAGTTATTGCATATTTAAATGTATTTTTTTTGTGACTTAGTTGTCACTGTTTGCCTTTAAAAGGCATTTACAGATTCACCGGGGTGAAGGTGGCCGAGTGCAGATTGCGCTTAGCCTAAATCTCTTTTATGAGTAACTAGACTCGAGGGCTGTTACTTCGTTATTTTTACCGGATTGGGTTTAAATGTCGTTTTAGTATTTGGCCGAGGTTCCATTAATATACGATGAGTGATTGTTGGATGCGATAGTTCTATGTAATTTATAATGAATCTTATATGATGATGGGATCATATACATGCATTTTTTCCCATTATGAAGTGTTCTTGTTTGCAGCACATGTATAAATACATATTCCTTCATAATAAACATTAATGTTATATATTTACCAGTATAAATGTCTTTTATTATGAATCACATGCTTCATACATTCTCATGTTTATTTATGTAATGCCGTTTCTAAGATAAATACGATTTTATGATTTGTTTATTGCAGTAACAACGGTTTTATGTAATGTATATTAGCTTAAGTAATATTGAATATTATTTAGTTACAAATATTGAGCAAGAGACGAGGTTTAAATGGAATACCATATTATGTTGTCTTTTAAACTATGATATTTAATTTGAATTTTTAATGGTTTGTTTCGCTTTGTCTTTCATATGTACAGTCGGATTTTCGAATATTTTTGTTTAATAGTATGTTGCTATGATGATAATTATATTAAAGCAACGCCACAAGTAAAAGTTACCTTCGCATAAAACTGACGACGCATTTAAACTAGTATTTATCATTGTAACAAATTGTTATCACCTCGTTAAAGATTTTGTAACGACATCGTAAATGTAGAGGTTTAAATTTTTTTACAATACATTTTAACGTACTTAATGAACATGTTTTCACAGTCCTGATATCAGTTTTCAGTCTAGCTGTTACACTCACTGTCTTTAAGTGTCTTCCTTGAGTAGATTAAGAGCAGGCACACTTTGGACTAAATTATCTCATAACTGTTCTGCGATTGTCGATTGTTTCGCAGCTAATTCAACTGTTTAGTTGCACAACTAAAAATCGAGTAGTGTCTGCACCATATAAGGTCATAGGAATCAAAGCGCATTTAAAAAGTTGTGCTATTGTTTAGTCAAACTCGCGCTCAAGTGTTAGAATTTTAATTAGAGGCCAGATGCCTAATTGTAGCTCCCGTATCCCTTTCCACTCTTTTCTTAGAGGAAAGGAAAGGGGAAGTGGAATTGATGGAGATGGGACACATAAGAAGGGTAAACACCTATTTTCTGTACGTCCCTCCGATGACCAAAGATAGGGTATGTTTTTCGTCAACATGTTTCAGTAGTGAAAACTGAGGGTCAAACGAATTTACTTGTGAAATTTAATGCAATGTCGAAATACACTTTTTATTTTTAAATATTAAAGAAACTTTAAATGATGATAGATTATAAAAAATCCAATAATGGTAAAACCATTTCAATTTAACTGATAATAAATTATCCAAACTAAAGCTATTATAAGCGAGGTAACGTATTAGAACCAATGTCAAACTAAATGCCTAACAAAATCGTTTAGATATAACGAAGCAATGATAAATGACTAAACTAAATATATTAGATTACTGGCTGTTGCTCGCGACTTCACCCGCGTGAAATAAAAATAATAATAATAGATATAGTCTATGTTAGTCACAGACAAATTACCTTTCTAACGGTGAAAGAATTTTTAAAATTGGCCTAGTAGTTTGTCAGTTATATCAATACATACAAAAATACAAATCTTTCCTCTTTATAATATTAGTTCTGTTCTGTTAGACTAGCTGTTGCTCGCGACTTCACCCGCGTGAAATTATAAAATAATAAAACAAGCCTATGTTACTAACAGATTAATTACCTTTCTAATTGTGAAAGAATTTTTGAAATCGGCCCAGTAGTTTTTACGAGAATTGAAAATATACAAAAATCTAAAAATTCAAATCTTATCTCCTTATAATATTAGTATAAATTAAATTGTGTTAATGTTCCTTAAAATGTATTCGGCATTTTAGTATTTTTTTTCCATTTTTCTTACTATTATTGGTTCTTATCTTTATTAGTTGTAGCTTGCTTTTACGTATGCAACATATAGATAGATATATAAATACCCGTAAATAATATGGTTGCAATTGACATACTTATTCATATGTTATTTATCTATCTTTCACCTACAACTCCGTCCGCGTGGGTATAAAAAAAACAACTATGTGTTCTTCCAGATTATTCTAAAAATTTATAGCAAATTTCATCCAATTATCTATACTATCGCTATTATAGTATTAGTAAGAAGTATGATAGCTGATTTACTCGAACCATTTCATTACTTTTTCATAATTACTTTCATATAAACCAAAGGAATTGTTATCAGTAATTATTATCGTATATTATTAGTAATAGATTTTGAGTGCGGTGATATCGGTTTTTGTAGATGACGTGATCGCCGTACCATATCTTGTACCATATTTGTTGTCAGCGCATAAGTTCGTGACACGGTCCCGTACCGGATGCAATGTACACAAGATGAAGAGAAAGTCTAAATGCACTTAGTCATCAAAAATTTTCGATGTGACGTTTTAAGTAATTTTTTATTGACTTGGGTTAGGTTTGAAGGAGAAGCAGGTTTGAAGAAGAGGAAGTACTACATAACAGACTAAGATAAACGAAACGTTGATGTTTTTTCACTGTAAATTATCTTTTATTTACGATATTTTCTGAATAAGTAGAATTAATATTTAATTAAATCATAGAATAAATACAAATGTAATAGAAATTGTCTATATTCTTTGATAGGAATTTCAAAATTGCGCAGATTTTTTCTAATACGATTTATTTAGGACACACTTTTCCGTAACTTTGAGATGTATTTACAACTTAACTATTTATGAGGCATGATAGCCGCCTTGCGACAAAGTCCCTTGTTAAGATAAATAAATAAAAAAACTTAACTAATTACAATTTTCACTCTCAAATATTTGAGTGACGGCCGAAGCGTGTATCTCAAGTTTTCCACCGCAGAATGCTATCAAAAACGTTTGAACGGAAGGCGAGTGTTGCGCGCATCTCGCTGCCGCTGCCGCATCCCGTTTCGTTCCGTCCTCCAATCGCCTCCGACCTCCGACCAAGAGGACCCCGATGCCTCTGTCCTCCTCAGTCGTACTCTGCGCCTCGCTACGGTCGGACGTGCGCTCGATCTGCGCGTACAACTCGCGAGCTTTCGAATTTTTACCTGTGGATTGTTAGTGACATGTGCTGTTGAATTAGTATTTGAGTGGCACTGGATTGGCGCCGATCACCTGCTCGTCTTGCGAAGTTTCCAGCCAGTATTCAAGGTCGGTGCGCTTTATAGTTTGCGAATAGTGATGTGATCGGATGCATTTGGAATGTCACTTGTCCGGTCCTTATGATGTTCGGTCAGTTAAGGATTGTTTTGTTAGCGGTGTGATTTATTTCTATGCTCTCTCCTGTCCACCGGTTCATTGACATCTCGAACTTGGCACTTGAATATTACTCTGTATGTTTTTCGACCGGTGCGTTGCGTGGGACATATATCTGCGCTCGATTATTGTTTTGGAATGTTATTTAAAGTTTTATGAATATTTTCCGGACGCAATTATTTAATTGTTTAGATTGATGTAACGGATACGCAATGCGGATTAAGTCGTATTTTATATGTGTGTTCGTCATCACAAAATTTTACGTGACTCAGAAGTAAAGGTAAATAGCGACCTCAGTACTTGAATAAAAAATATCGATAACGTATTTTCCAATTAGTTAGTCATCGATGATTAAAAATGATGGTATTATTAATTCAATACATTGAAAATTGTTTTAAGTAAATTTATATTAAAAAAAGCAGGATATATATTTCCATCTACTATAATTAGACATAAACACGTAGTAGATTTCCAACAGCTATGTTTTTTTTTTAATTTCGAACAATAAAGTTAGCATTTAAACAACACTACGATATTTCATAATGTAACAATTAAAATCACCTGTAAACAATGTTTGAAATTGTTATCAAAAAGATTTAGACCGTCTCTGATACCGACTTATCTACGTCCTTAGAAATGATTGTGGAAACGCGATTCACATTTTTACCTTTAGTCGTCATGAATAATTTGATAATAAATAAAATGTGAATTAGAAATGTTACAAAATAACACTTACAACATTAATTTATTTGAAAATATTAGTAAGATATAAAAATATTTATAAGTGGAATGATTTGTTTGAATTAAATACGCTTTGAAAGTACTCGACCAATGTCAAAAATTCTTTCGCCATTAGATTGACGTTATCACCTAGTAATAGGCTATATTTTACTCCTACGGGAAGGGTATGGCTCTGACAGATAGAAATGCGTCGTATATTCTTTGCCATTAAGGCGAAGCGGGGACGGATCGCCTGTCACCGTTAATATTATTATCAAAATGCATTAACTAATTAGGTCATAGTAAATACACATTAAAAAAAGTAATCAGCTAAAGAATTGTTTTGTTAGTTTCTAGCTAATTAAACACTAAATAGGTTCGATGTAGTAAAGTTTTTAATTGAAACTTTAAAATACCAAATGGTCATTAAATGTCAGAGCCTTAATTAAAACAGCACGACAGTTTTTAAATAAAAATAATACTCGCTGTTTTTATTCATGTAATTAATTTATATTATTTTATTAATAAACTAGCTTTCGCCCGCGATTCCGCCCGTCCTGCATAGGCTATTTAAATAACCGTAAAGTTAAAAACACATGTTCTTCCAGACTATCCTCTACATCTGTACCAAGTTTCATCGTAATCCGTTAAGTACAAACTCTAACAAACATTCATCCATCCAAATTTTCGCATTTATAATATTAGTATGAAAAGTATGAAGTATAATTCTTATTGTTGCTTATTTTATTAATTTATTCATTAAAGTAATTTATGACCTTTATTGGAATGGTCATATCTTAGGTGTGAATGGTCAAAAAATATCTAACGGTAATTCTAATATTTTCTAGGCTGTTAGGTGCTAATTTAGTTAGTGAAACGGTTATATGACAGTACTAGCTTTCGCCCGCGACTCCTTTCGCGTGGAATTAAAAAAACTAAAGTGAATAGCCTATGCGTTCTTCCAGACTATCTTCTACATCTGTAAAAATTTCACCGAAATCTGTTCAGCCGTTTAGGCTACAAACTCTAACAAACATCCATCCATCCATCTAAACCTTCGCATTTATAATATTAGTATGATAATATCACCTTTAAATAATAAAGAGTTACGGAATTTCAAAGGCCTACTTGAAGTAAGTTTTTTGTTCTTATTGGTAAAGAAAACAAAAACCCACTGTTTGGAATGCTACCAGATATTGTCGTACTTGATTTGTTCCGGGATTTTCAACTTTATTGATGTGACTTTAATTTTTTAAAGTTAAAATGCTATATAGTCGAGGAATTTAATTTCCTACCACATTGGTGAAATGCAACTTGTTAACCACAAAGAAATTAGGTCAAAAACATATATTACTATATTACTACTTTTACACTCTTACTAATATTATAAATGTATAAGTTTAGGTGGATGGATGTTTGTTAGTGTTTGTAGCCTAAACTGCTAAACAGATCTCGATAAAAATCGGCATGCATGTAAAGGTGAGTCTGGAAGAATATGTTTATTTTTGGTTTTAATTCCTTATTAGTTTTCCATGCTAGTTAGATGCTAGTCCGTAAATAGTAGCGATTATTACAGCTTATTGTTTTATATTCGACCATAAATGGGAATTAAATTAAATTCTTTGACTATGCTTTTACTACACAGAGTTTGTAACATAAGTGAATATAACGTATGTAGTATTTCTAAGTAATATTAAGTATGTGTTAGATGTGTCGGCCTAATGATATTTTGTAATGACTAGACTTATACCGAGGCTTCGCCGAGGTCGACGACATGTCAAGGAGAACGTATCTCTCATTATGATATTTACACACAATGAATTTGCGGGCATTCGACTATTTCCGTTGCGCATTGAAGGTTTTTTTTATTTCTTACGAAAATTGGATACCGTTTTGCGGTAATGCTTATTGGAAATATCCTATCTGGTGTAATGAACCTGAGTATTCAACGCGCACACCTTTGATTACACTATCGTACAACTGTTTGGTCGCGCTTTGATTTCTAAGAGTTTATAAGGATCTGCATAACTACTCGATTTTTAATTGTGCAATTAAACTGTTGAATTGACGGCGAAACAATCGACAATCGCACAACTGTTGTGCGATATTTTAGTCAAAGTTGTGCGCCCGCTCTTATAAGTTAACATTTCTTTAGTAGATTTCCTTTAGGTAAATTCAATGTGCTTTTTTTACTACCGTTTGTTTTTAATATTTACCAGGGATGTGTTTTCCCGTTTTATTAAATTTCCGATAAGTTTATAATTAACTTATGAAGTATGTTATTCTATTGCGATAGCAATGTATTCGTTTATGTGTTGTTTTTAAATTTGTTCTATTATTTTTAAAATAATTGTTTGTGGTGATTCAGTATTTTATCAATAATTATATTATTTATTGCAATGATATTTGATTCTTTTTCTTGTTTTTTTTTGTTTTTTTTTTTAATTAGTCATCCATTTGTCATAACTGTTGTTTAGTTTTCTCGGTGTTTTATTATTTAAACTTTGTCCGTAAACCTAGCTAAATTTGTTTTAGATATGGAATAAATCTATACATAAGCAATTTTCCAGGGAATGTATCCGTGTATACATAAATGATAACTGTCTGAATAAATCTACAACTTTTCCTCGTGTAGCATCGCTTATCCAATCATAAATCTGCAAGGAAAGTTTCGGTTTTATAATGCAATAGTTAGTTAGGTTTATTTTAGAAAGAAAAATTTAATACGTTGAGATAGAATTTATCTTAATAAAATATTCGATACTTGCTGTTGCGCGCTTAATAAAAGAAATATAACCTATGTTACTCACAGATAACTTACCTTCCTAACGGTAAAAGAATTATTTAAATCAGCCCAGTAGTTTTTGAGTTATTTCAATACATACAAAAAGACAAACCTTTCCTCTTTATAATATTAGTATAGATAATGAACATGAGGTACTAGAAAATTAAAATTAAATTTCTAGTTGGAGCAACGTTTGCAAAAGGATTATACAGAATCATTATTTCCACCTATTCAAAGTCAAAATGTAGTCATTTCCACCAGCCACAACAAATAGTCGCACGTTTTCAAAGTTTGCCGACTTGGCGATTAGTGGAAAAGGAGTTTTATTTTCGTATAGCAGACGCTTTTGTTGGATCGTGGAAGTGCATGTGAGCGCTGCGGAAAAAACCACAGTAGCTCATTACGTACGCGGCACACGTGCGCCGCGCTGCAGTGGCCCAAAAACTATTTAAAAGCTTTTGTTTTTACTAAACGCTTGTTTGCCACAAAGTATGAGAAAATTTAAAATCTCCTCGGTGGTCGGGAGGCGAACTTCGATTCGTAAACGAATACCAATTCCGTTGTTTTCCAGGGGTGTTCAACTGTGGTTCAATGATCTCACGTACATTTTTAAATAGTTTTACATTTTTTCACAAAAACAGTCAACGTTTAGTAAATAAGGAGGGAAAATATTAATTGTGTTTTTTGGCTTATTCATAATAAGTATTTGTGAGCGTGTACTCGTACAATTAAATTTGACACATTACTAGTTGAGTTTAATATAGCAAGTCCCTGGGGAATCCCAGTGAAGATTGGTAATTAAAATAACCTGACCAATGATTACCGATTGATTGGTCACCTCTGTTAAATATTTTTAAAGTCATTGCGTAAACGTAATATAAAATTTTACGGCCAGTCATTTTAATGACATCTGAACTTTCGCTTGCAGTGACGTCATTTACGTTTGTGCAGTGAAATTTCGAAGAAGATACTCGATTTTGTAACCGGTTAAAGTATATGACGTTTGCAAAAGTCACGTAAGAATAATGTAATATAAGTTAATTTAATAATTAACAATTAGTGAAAATCAGAGAGGGAAAGAATGAGTCAAAACTTTTAAAGTAGTTCGTTATGTTTTTTTTATGTTCCAAATTTGAATGTAAACTGTCTAATTTTAGATCACCAGCTATAAATAGAATAACGCGTTTTAATATTTGTAAGATGTCATTTCAACCAGGATTTATCCGAGACGGGCAGCTGTGAGATTAAGCTAGTTGTACACGAGGGTAGACCAGTAGGATAGAACTGTACTGCTGTTTGGTTTGGTTAGAACGATAGCAGTACTGTGCTGTCTTACTGCTCTGCTACATTTGCTGCCTGCGTGTAGAATTAGCTTTACTGGATATTAGAG